AGTAGTGCCAGAAAGAATTAACTGACTGGGTCAAGCTGAAAGGGCACTAGTTGTGGATGTATCTAGTGGTGAAAGGAAAGTCCGATGCTGTAAAGAGCAATACTGCATAGGAACCTGGAATGTAAGATCTATGAATCAAGGTAAGCTGGACGTGGTCAAACATGAGATGACAAGACCGAACATTGATATCTTAGGAATCAGTGAATTAAAATGGACAGGAATGGGTGAATTTAATTCAGATGACCATCAGGGATACTACTGCGGGCAAGAATCCCTCTGAGGAAATAGAGTAGTTTTCATAGGCAATTAAAGAATAGGAAAAGCAGTACTGGGATACAATCTCCAAAATGACAGAATGATCTCAGTTTGAATCCAAAGCAAACCATTCAACATCACAGTAGTCCATGTCTATGCCCCTACCACTGGTGCTGAAGTTCTTCACAGAGGCTGAAGTTCTATGAAGATCTACAACACCTGCTAGAACTTGCACCAAAAATGATGTCCTTATCATCATGGGGGATTGGAAAGCTAAAGTGGGAAGTCAAAATATAACCTGAATAACAGGCAAGTTTAGCCTTGGAGTACAAAATGAAGCAGGGCAAAGGCTAGCAGAGTTTTGTCAAGCAAGCATGCTGGTCATAGCAAACACTCTTTTCCAACACATGGACATTCTACACATGGACCTCACCAGATGGTCAACACCAAAATCAGATTATGTGTTCTGCAGCCCAAGGTGGAGAAGAGAAGCTCTATCCAGTCAGTAAAAACAAGACCTGAAGCTGACTGTGGCTCAGATCATGAGCTTCTTATTGCAAAATTCAGGCTTAAATTGAAGAAAGTAGGGAAAAGCACTAAGCCATTCAGGTATGTCCTAAATTATATTCCTTATGAATATACAGTGGAGGTGACAGATTTAAGGGATTATATCTGATAGAGTGCCTGAAACAGAGGTTCACAACATTGTACAGGAAGCAGCAGCTAAAACCATACCAAAGAAAAAGAAATGCAAGAAAGCAAAATGGCTGTTTGAGGAGGCTTTACAAATAGCTGAGGAAAGAAGGGAAGGGAAAGGCAAGGCAGAAAGGGAAAGATACACTCAACTGAATGCAGAAAATAGCTGAATCCCAGAAAATAGCTAGAAGAGATAAGGAAGTCTTCTTAAATGAACAGTGCAAAGAAATAGAGGAAGACAATAGAATGGGAAAGACTAGAGAGCTCTTTGAGAAAATTGGAGATAAAGGGAACATTTCATGCAAAGATGGGCATGATAAAGGACAAAAATGGCAGGGACCTAACAGAGGCAGATGAGATTAAGAAGAGGTGGCAAGATTACTCAGAAGAACTATACAATATATCTACTGTTGCTTCATTGACTATGCTAAAGCCTTGATTGAGTGGACCACAACAAATTGTGGCAAGTTCTTAAAGAGATGGGAGTACCAGACCATCTTCTTTGTCTCTTGAGAAATGTGGGTCAAGATGCAACAGTTAGAACTAGATATAGAACAACTGATTGGTTCAAAATTGGGGAAGGAGTATGGTTAGGGTTGGGGCATATAGTCACCCTGCCTATTTAACTTATGTACATCATAAGAAAGGTGGGGCTAGATGAATCACCAGTTGGAATTAAGATTGCTGGGAGAAATATCAACAACCTCAGATATGCAGTTGATACCACTCTATATGCAGAAAGTAAAGAGGAACTAAAGAGCCTCTTGATGTGGGTGAAGGAGGAAAGTGCAAAAGTTGGCCTGAAACTCAACATTAAGAAAACTAAGATCATGGCATCTGGTCCTATTACTTCCTGGCAAACAGAAGGGGAAGAAATGGAGGTAGTGACAGATTTTATTTTCCTGGGCTCCAAGATCACTGCAGATGGTGACTGCAGCCAAGAAATTAAAAGATGCTTGCTCCTTGGGAGGAAAGCTATGGCAAATCTAGGCAGCATACTAAAAAGCAGAGACATCACCCTCCTGACAGAAGTTTGTATACTCAAAGCTATGGTTTTCCCAGTTGTAATGTTTGCTGTGAGAGTTGGGCCATAAGGAAGGCTGAGCACGGAAGACTTGATGCTTTTTAATTGTGGTGTTGGAAGAGACTCCTGCGAGTCCCTTGGACTGCAAGGAGATCAAATCAGTCAATCCTGAAGGAAATCAACCCTGACTGCTCTTTAGAAGGTCAGGTATTAAAGCTGATGCTCAAATATTTTGGCCACCTAATGAGAAGGAAGGACTCATTGGAAAAGACTCTGATGCTGGAAATGATTGAAAGCAAAAGGAGAAGGGGATGGCAGAGGTTGAGGTGGCTAGATGGGGTCACTGGAGAGGTGGGCGTGGGCTTCAGTGGACTCCAGGGGATGGTGGAGGACAGGAGAACCTGGAGGAAAGTTGTCCATGGGGTCGCGAAGACTGGGGCACAACTTTGCGACTGAATAACACAGCCTTACTATACAACTCAAGCAAAAGTATATTCACATAGACCTTTGGAACAGAAAAGGCACAGGGCAACACTGTACTTGCTTCAAATCATGACAAGGGGAGTGGAATTTTAGAATGAAAATGGGAGGGGAAAGCTTGAATCTCCCCATTCCCAGAGTGGTACAATCCTGATTCTAATTCAGCTCATGCACGCTCAGACTGAAGTAGATAGAGTCAATCACAGGCAATCTGTGTGTTGTCTAAATTGCACTTTTGGAAAGCCAAGTGCTTTCCATCTTTCTCTTAGTCGATTTCACTTCCCTGCAGGCTGGAACTAACAAAGCTCCACAGATAAGGAAGAGCTTGGGACTGGTTATTGCTCTAAAAGAGTTTCGTGCCATGCATACCAGTAGAAAGTCAACAGCAACTTATGGAAAAACTGCATTTTTGACAGATACATTGTGCTCAAAGTGCTTCATAACACACTGAAGTGCAATAATAAAATAACAGCCTGCTTCCCAGATTGGTTTTTATTGGCCAGTTTTTATTCCAGCACTCCATACCAGCTAGTACAAAAAACATCCCAATGCCAAATAGCAATAGTTTTCTGGGATATTTTATGACTTGGATAATTGTGTTCAGAAAGAAAAGTGTAAATCAGAAGTGTGAAACCTCAGGCCTGGGTCCGAGTCTGGCCCGCAAGGGCACCCGAGAAGGCTATGCTCCCTTTCCCTCAACAACCACTGTTTGGTGGTTTCCTGACCTTTTACACAGTTGTTCTCCATTCTAAAATGTCGAAATGCCTTCTTAAGGCTAAGTTACTGGCATCAAGAGCATTATGATAAAATTTGTCGGCATTTTTTAGATTTTGCCTCTGCCCCTTTTACCTTAGCCCCACACATCACTGCTATACAATGCAGCCTCCAAAAACTTCTCTAAAATGAAATTCATCCCTGAAAGAGGTACTGCACCCTCACTGAAAATGGTAAGTGGCTGGAATTTGGGAGCATCATTTACTCTTGTGCCAGTGGCAATATCCAGGGCAAGAATGGTAATTTTGTAGGTCTACAATGTCATGGTAGTTTTGTTACCTCAGGAGCTGGACTTCATCTTAAATGCAATTAAAACAGGTTGCCTTGATGGCCAGTGAGCTTCTCATAGAGGCATCCGATTGGCCAGTGTTGAAAATCAACTTCTAGACTCTGTTCTGTTCAAGCATTTGAGCCCAGCTTGGAGGTCTCAGCACTGTCTGTATAGGAAATACAGTTCTTGGTTAGTGATGGAAAGGAGATTTGAAGAGAAACCAATGCATTGCAGAATGTAATGGCTAGGAACTGGAACATCTATGCAGAAGAAAGTGTAGCTGTTGTAGCTAGTGCTTGCAGTCTTCTGATTTTGTGTTAAAGATTATATTATGCTACTGAGATTTATGTTTGTAAGCCACCTTGCAAGCCAAGTTCTCACATCATGACATCCCACAGTGTCAAGCTACACAAGGTGATTTCTTAATGAAACTGCTTCTGGTGCACCAAAACACAACTGGGCTGGCTGTGAGTTGTCCCCATTCTCCTTCCCCCTTAGTCCTCCCTTGGGTACTGCAGGAAACCCTGTGACAGGACGTGCCTTGTCTGCACTGTCCACCATTACTGCAAGCCTTTGGGGAAGTGGAAAAGTGTGAGCCACCCCCTTTTATGAAAACTGTCAATTTTGACAGTGGGCTGTCAAAACTCCAGTTCCTTTTAAAAGGCTTTTTTCACAGGGACATCATATGCATCCATGCCCACAGATGTCCCTATGGGGGAAAAAACCCTTAAAATTAAAAAAGAAAAGCAAACAAAAAACAATAACCTTTGACGATCCCACTGTGAAGGGGTTGATCTGGTCACCACTGCTTTTTCATGAGCGAAGATCACTTGTGACTCTTGACAGTTCAACTTTTGACAGCTGTCAAGAGAAACCAAACTCAGAAATAAAGCTCTTGGTAACCTCCATAGGTCAATGCTTATGAGGGGTGCTTTCTGCACTTTGACAGCAGACAGCCCACTGGACACTGCCCCCAGATGAGGCATGCCATTTGGGACTAGTGCAAGTTCATACTTGTGAAGGTATGAAACAGAAACAACCAAATAACTAGAAAAAATCAGGCACAAAATTTCTTTTAATAATGGCGTAATGAACCACTTACCAATGCTCCATTTCAGAATTAAAAGGTAGAGTTGAAGAGTTGAGAACCTCAGTGAATACAAAAGGGCGTGTGACTGCAGTGGAGAAGGGCAGCATGGTGAACGCAGTCATTGGTTGGGTGCCCCATGGATTGTTAGTTCAACCACTGAAGTACTGTGGCTCATTGCTAGAGTGGGTTGTCATGACATGCTGTTATGTCCAATATATACTTGAATTTCTGGTTTCAATCATTCTCTGTACCTGAGATTTTATTAATGAGATTGTGTGTGAGAGAGAGGGGTGGGGTACTCAGTATAAAAGAACAAGTTTGGTGCTGTACATACCCTGGTCACTATGGAATATGGAGCTGTCCCACCTAGTTGTCATGAGTATGTCTAAGCTCCCTTTACCTTTTTGCAGGGCCTCAGCAGCACCTTGCTATGTACACCTGAGCTGAGGACAATGAAGCAACTGGGACAGTGGCTAAACTACAGGTGGAGGAAAAATTGTGATCAAACACAACTTCGAGCACATTATCAAGCCTATTCTTGGGTGAGGATTGCAAGAAACCATTTCTTTTACACTTCCATTGTATCTTCAAAGTGTGGCCCCAAAGAGCTTTTATTAGAGCTTCAAAAATGTTTTGTTTTTTGGAACACAGTACCCTGGCAATCCCTTTTTGTGAACAGGCAAGCTCCACCATAGAAGCCACTTTGCAAGAGCATTCATTAAAAATTCCAAATGTGCTCTCCAGCCCAAAAAGGTTGGAGACACCTGTACTATTATTCCATTAATAGTCTGAAACTCATAGGATTGTTGACATGGCTTTACAATTGTCATTAATAAATATGTTTATGATTTCTTAGATTCAGATATGACAACCCACACTGTGTAGTGTGGGTGAATCACCTGAGGGTCCTATAATACGCATGGCAAATGACTGGGCATATGGTAGGTTGCTGGCCCCCTCCTCCGTGCTTGGTCCTCCTGGAGGTATCCCAGATAATCTTTGCAAGGAACAAGTCTTCCCCTGCTCACTGCTGCTGCAAACACTTTTGGGCTTTCTGCAGGGTTTTTTTTTCCTATTTTGTCCCCTCCCCCCCCCCCACCCACCCACCCACCAGAGATATGAGCTGACTGGGAAATTATACACAAAATATGCAATGTTTAAATTTAACCTCCTTTTTACAAATGTTTTCATTCACAGAAGCACAAATCGGTGGATTTTAAGCCTTGGCAAGGGCAATGTTAAGGTGGGAGTTTGGTGCCAAAGAGAGTGAACCCAGCCATGTTCAGACAGTGGTTACAGTTGCTACAGTTAGTAACTGTGGTTATTTCAGTGCAGACATAATGCTAAATCATAGTTAACATTAACCAAGGATGGGAGAGAGGAAGGAACCAAACTATGTTTTGGAAATTGGCCTCATACTAGCTGGTCTGGTTTTGGTTTCCTACTCTGTTAGGATGGAAAGATAGATCTGTGTAGAATACATTATTAATACTATTTCAAAAATAACATGCAAACAATTGTGCTAATTTAATTAAACCACAATTAAATCTGATCATTATAACCATAGAACATCCATTTTCTTTAACCAAACAGGCTGTTACTAGAAATGCATCCCTGCCTGTTCCTACAGTATTTTCAATAATATATTTATTCATATCCCATATTTTTCCTTTCAAGGAATTCAAGATGGCTTCCATAGGACTTCTCTTGCTCTCCTTGTAAGGTAGGTTAGGCTGAGAGTTTGTGACTGGCTCAAAGTCACCCAGTGAGCTCCATGACTGAGTGGGAACTAGAACCTGCAGTTTCCAGATCCCCAGGTCAGCATTCTAACCACTATATCATATTGGCTCTCAGGATATAATCCAATTGACTTATCAAATAAGTAAATAAATACTATTATTCCATCTTCTAATTATCAAGTCCTAAATGAACTAAATTAAAATAAAATGTATTAAGTGTATTAATACTTATTAACTTAATTAAAAATATTTAATTTACACAGGTGGTCCCCTGGTTATGGACAAGTTCCGTTCCTGAGAACATCCTTAAGTCGAATTTGTATGTAAGTCGGATCACATGAGTAAGCCAAATGCTTGTCTTAGTATATGAATATTTTACCTTTCAACAGATTTAAACACTTAACACTTACATGTTCATTAAAAAATCTTAAATGCAATACAGCATTGTAATAACAATAACAATACAGTAACAATAAAGTGACTCTACAGGTACTGAGGAGAGAGAGAGAGAGAGAGAGAGAGAGAGAGAGAGAGAGAGAGAGAGAGAATATGAATGGATGAATGAATCTGTGTATGGGTGAGGCACGGTAAGTTACACAGTATTGTAAAAAAAAATAAAAGAAAAGAAACAGTTCTTAAGAGTTTAGAACATTCTTGAGATAACATTAAACCTAGCATTAACTGGTGGGAAATGGACCTGGTGCTGGAGTCAGGTTTGTGCAGCTCGAGAGGGAGGAATAGTTACCACTGGAGCCATTTTCTTGAAGTAGGCCTGAAGGGTTGTTTGTACAGCCATTTTCTGTATCTCACCATAAAAGGTCTTGTAGCAGTTGAGGCCCGCTTCCAACGGTAAATGCTAAAGAAAAACCAAAGGAGAACTATATGCTATGCATGTGCCCCAAAGCACACTGGCTTGGGTACTTTCGACCTGACATCCAGAACAAAAAGCCATTAGTACTGTCTCTTTAGGGAATTAGGCTGCCACTCATAATGCATCACCAAACATGTCATATTTCCCTAGAGATACATCATGTAGCTGTGACTATCTGTAGTGAATCTTTATCTCTGCCAAAAAGCTGCAATCTCCTCTATGGAAGTACACAGCCAGTGATGACACATCATGTATCTCCCAAGAGCTGTATCTAGTTTTCATGGAATTTATACAAGGAGACCATTTTTCAGTCCATTTTAACATCATGAGAGCCAGTGTGGGGTAGTGGTTAAGAGCATGGGACTGGGACTCAGACGATCTGGGTTCTAGTCCCTGCTCGGCCATGGAGCCAACTGGGTGACTTTGGGCCAGTCACAGACTCTCAGCCCAGTCTACCTCACAGGGTTGTTGTTGTGAGGATAAGATGGAGGAGGAGATGTAAGCTGCCTTGAGCCCTTTGTAGGAAAAAGGCAGGATATAAATTGAAAAATAAATAAATAAAATAAATAAACATCTGGCAATCTCCTACATTTTGGACGAACACATCTTAAATGAAAGAGCTACTTCATTCTTAGTAGCTGCAACCAGTGCTATTTTTTGTAAGAAAAACGGTGCCAGAACTCATGAATTTGTTTACCTTTCGCACGTAGTCAATCACTGTACACACACCCACACACGTCAGTTGTGTAATGAAACATAACGGTTACCACCCACAGTAAGCACTCAGTGCGCAACCACACGACCAATCACAAGCTGAGCAGCGCCATCACAACCAGCGCGGATGAAGTGCGCACGCATCGGATTCGATACACAAGCAGCCCACATGCACCGTTTTAATGATTTTGCCACCAACCTGCTACGCTCAAAAGGGCGATTCAAATCCATGTGGACCAAACATCAAATTTTCAAAAGTTACATTTAAAACTTGGAAAATCTGTTGGATAAAAGGTGCCGGAACTCCATTCCAGTGTGTTCTATGACAAAAAAAAAAAAAAACACTTGCTGCAACTATGTTTGCAACTGTTTAATGAATTTAAGATAAACCCCTGATGATCCCAAAGTACTGAGTGTCTGTGGCCCAAAATTATTCCATTAGAAGGAATTGCATACTTATCACAGAATTTATCTTTTCCAAAGTACTTGAATTTTGGCACCTGAGCATCAAATTAAATCATATCCTTGAATATATATCCCTAACATTAATTAACTAATGGTGGAAAACTATGCATGTTTAGACAGTGCTGCAACTGCTAGCACTCCCAAGAGAGCCATGGATAGGTTTGTGTCCTAACAAAATAACATGTTGTGCATAGAACCTTGTCTAGCACAAGAATCTTATTTTTCTTATTTTGTTCTTGTTGCATACTTACATTCTATAAACCACCCAGACAGCCCTATGGGCTATGGGGAAGTATACAAATGTAATACATAAACAGAAGCAGATTTGTAATCCAAAAAGTGCATTTCTATTACATTTACTGTTCATGTGGGCGGAAGAATTCTCCATGTTTTTGACTGTATTTTCTTTCCACTTTAAAAATAATAGTATAAGTACATGGGCCTAAATCCACCCCTTCCATCGTTATTTCTCCTTGTCTTTCAGAGAATAAAACTGTTCACAGGAAGACACTTTTGGACACTACAATGGAGTCACCAGGCAGAGAGGAAGAGACATATGTTTTGGTGGAGTATGCCTTTGAATACACCTCCAAGGATGGGCGATTTATTTCAATCAAACCCAATGAAAGATACATGCTTTTGAGGAGAACAAATGACCACTGGTGGCATGTTAGAAAGAGCAAAGAAGCCCGGCCTTTCTACATCCCAGCTAAATACGTCAAAGAGCTGGGCCCCAGGTCCCAGACCACGACTCTTTCTGAGAATCTTCCTTCAGTAACCCTGCTGGAAAACACCAACTTGGAGGCCTCCACTGGGACTGGCAGGGAGAGACTGCCAGAGTATGAATATCAGTTTGTGACTGCTCCCCCAGAGTGTGAAATAGATTCCTCCCAGTGCAATTCCATCTGTTCAGAGGTGGGAAAGTCTGACACTGGTGGGAAGGGGCTGTTCCCCATTTCTGGAGCAACAAGAGCCACTCGTTCCACCCTCAGTGGATCACATGGTTCCCTTAAACCTTCACACACACGAGGTCCTGCTTCTCCCCTGGTGGACTATAGGCTTTCTGCTGAACACATGAGACCTACAATGTCCCTGGATGACTTGGCAAGGTTCACACCACATGGCCAGAAAGGTACTGGGAACTCAGGATTGTATAAAACTGCCTCGTGGGGTCACCCTCTTCCACTCCTGAAAAGCCACTCTGAAAATATCCATAACCCAATGGAGGAGGATAGAATGAAGCTGAACACAAAAGAGCACTATCAGGTACCGTATTTCTTATCTCAGACAAAGAGAACAGCAATGGTATTCGCTTAAGATTCACTCCATGGCATATTCATTTGTAGTTTCTGAGCCTGATTGGACCAATAGCATTATTACCTCTCAGTTTCTCTGAACTTCTTTGCAGCTGTACTAAGGATATGACAATCTCTTAATCCCTGAAGCTGCTTGTTGATAAGGGGGTACCATTCTGCACATGTACAGAGGCATGTCTTGCCAGCCCATGTCATCAAAAGAGATTCTGGGATGCAGCCCTAACACCATCCAGGTTTCCCGGATCTTTCAGCAATAGCATATGATTGATATGCTACATGTAGAGAAAAATATTGTAGTTCAGCCTTCCTTGGATTCAACCAATTCAAACTCTTATATTGGAAAGCTTCTCAGGTTAAAAACCAACTGCCTGAATACTGGAAACTGCCATGTTAGGCAGAGTGTAGCTAAAATCCTTCTCACTTCCATGTGAGTTTACTGATTCAAAAGAAAAAAATATTGGGAAGCACTGTGATAGAATACTTGCTGTCTGAAGTGGCACAGCTTCAAAAACACAGTATGATATAGCTCATGATATAGCTTCTTAGAGATAAATTACTGTCTTATCATATGCAAGCTACTTGTAGTGATGAGTAGTTTGCCAACTTCTTACCAAATACAAATTTCTATGCATGTAACAGGTGCACGTTTCCTTGTCTGTGCATTTCCATCGTGTTAGACAGATACATGGAATCTCTCTCTTTTATGGAGCACCTGGAGAGAGCTCTTGAGCAATATGGTCTGCTCAGACAGATATTGAGGAGGTGGCAGAGGACTTGGTGGTTTCAAGGATGTCTAGGCCCAGAAAGAGCATGAAAATCAGCCTGTCTTGGAAAAGGAGGGAGGCTGGGAAGGGGGCAGCCTGGGAGGCAGTTCTGGACCTGGGCAGGAGACAACAGGCAAAACAAGCAGACCAGATAAGTGTCCTACGCTCCCTGTCATTTAGCACTCATGCAGCAGGAGCCACCTTGAGGGTTGAGTCAAAAAAGGAAGGAAGGAGAGTAAGTTTCAGTTTGGATTAATCTTTTCACATGGACAGATGTTTCTCACATCAGAGAACACACTACACTGATTTATACCATTCTGTAACCTGTTAAGCCTTAATAAAAGAACCATCCTTCTAAGGTTTCATCTGAGTCTGCTGGAATGGAAAAGAGGGAGGGAAAGACCTGTTCACAACAGCGCCATGAGGCAGGAGATGCTGCCAAAAATGGTTTTGTCACCCTTGGAGAAAAGGACAAACAAGATTGCCGCTTTCAAGGCCCATAAGAACTTGTAAGGCAAAAGAACCAAAGATTTCCCCATATACAAGTACATTTGAGTTAAACCAAAAAAGTAGGCACGCACCTGGTGAACTTAAGAGGAGGCCTGTGATGATATTTGAAGCACTTTCAATTCCCATTTTCTGTTGGGAAACTAGCAAACACACAGGAAAAGAGCAAACCTCTTACAGCCTAAAAGGAAGTGAGCAGAATCAGAATTCATCATTTCAAATAAAAATGCATGCATGCTGCAAAGATGATTGGCAACTTAGGAAAAGGAAACAAATGCAGACCTTGTTCTAGGATACCTTTAACAACAGCTGGAGCTACAGATATTTGCAATGCTAATACTTACCACCATGCTACAGAATGCCTGATATGTTGATTTCTGCTGCCCAGGATTCTGTTTAAAGGCACAGGTTGCTTTGGCAGATTATTCTGATTGGCTGGCAGTCCTGCTTGAAATCTGAGAGTTCTTGGTTCCTTAGGATATGTCTGTACTACAGTTTTAAGGTAGTAGAATCACAGAATAGTAGAGTTGGAAGGGCCATGAAGGACATCAGGTCCAACCCTCTGCTGTTGCAGGACACCACATTACACCATCCCATAGTAATTCAAGCCTAGATCAATAATGCTGAAAGACAAATGAAAGGACACAATATCTGACCAGGAGAAAATAAAGGGGAGGTGGAAAGAATATAGAGAAGTAAAGAAAGGAAGATACACTTCTTCAAAAAGAATCCTATGAGAAAGAACCTCTGGGGCCTTCTTCCAAGGAGAGCGGCAACAAGGGGGAGGGCTTTCTTAGTAGTGGCCTCCCTGATGTGGTGGTGCTGAATCAGTTATCTTTTCATCACCAGGTTAAGAGGGCCCTCCCTTCTGAGACTTTTAAAAACTTACTTAGCCAGCCAGAGACTTGAGGAGGATCAACAGGTGTTTGCAGAGTCACCCCTTTGATATTCCCTGTTATTGTCTGGTTTTGTTACCTGTTTTTAGCCGTTTTAAAATGTATAATATTTTTCTGATTTTCTGAGATTTTTATCATCTGTTTTTATAGGCTGTGTAAACTGCTTGGGGAGCTTCAGCTATAGGGTGGTATAGAAATTAAAATTATTATTACTACTACTACTATTAATAGAAAGTGAAGTGAAAACTGCTCTGAAAGCACTTGGAAGGAACAAAGATAGGATGCCAATAGAACTATTCCAAACTGCAGATACTGAACTGGTTCAAATCCTAACAAGAACATACCAACAAGTATGAAAAACGAAACAGTAGCCCACAGGCAGGATGCATTCAATATACATTCCAGTTCCCAAGAGGGGAGATGCAAAAGAGGGCACCGGTCATAGGAACAATGCACAGATTCCCCATGTAAGCAAATGGTGCTCAAAGTGTTGCGACAAGCAATATCACTGTATATGGAGCAAGAGATGCCTGATGAAGGTGGATAATGAAAAAAGAGGTACTAGAGATCACATTGCAAATGCTCATTGTAAGCATTTGCAATATGGTAGTACCTGGAGTGCACCAAAGAATATCAGAAGAAAATCAATCTGTGCTTTATAGACTACATCAAGCCATTGACTGTGTGGATCATGAAAAGCTATGGATGGTTCTGAAAGTAATGGAGGTGCCTCTGCACTTGATTGCCCTGATGTGTACCCTTTGTTGTTGATGAGAGCTGTTGTCTTTGGACAGAATATGGAGAAACAAAATGGTTTACTGTAGGCACAGTGAGAGGCAATGTATATTTTATCTCCCTTACAGTTCAATCTTTAAGCCAAACATACAAGGAAAGCTTATATGGATAAGAGAATTGGAGTAGTGAAAATTGGTGGAAGATAATTCAATAATTTAAGTTATATAGATGATACCATCTTATTGGCAGAAAGCAGCATTGAATTGAAATAACTCCTGATGAAAGTGAAAGAGGAGAGTGCAAAAGCAGTACTGCAACTGAATATTAAAAAAACAAAAATCTTGACTACAGAAGAATCACACCACTTTAAGGTCAATGGTGGAGACACTGATATTGTTAAAGATTGACTGCAGCCAAGAAATTAGAAGAGTGAGACTTGCCAGAGCAGCAATGAAGGAATTAGAAAGATCCTAAATGTAAGGATGTTTCACTGGAGGCTATAGCCAAGATCGTCCGTGCAATTGTATTCCTGATTGCTAAGTATGGGTGTAAAAGCTGGACAGTGAAGAAAGTTGATAAAAAAAAAATTGGATAGGATGTTTTGGAGGACTTTCATTCATAGGCTCACCAAAACTTGGAGATGACTTGACAGCATGTAACACCAATTTGTATTTGCATGGTAGTTTCCTAGAATAGTGCTCATTGCCAGAAACAGGTCCCATGCCATTGTTACAGGTCCCATAATATGGTTTCAGTGGAAAATGTGCTGATTACATTCCAGTTTGATAGTCAATTTGGTTGGCTTAGCTTGCTTGAAGGCATACTGAGCCATTCAGTTCTTTTCCATATGGGTTCTGGGCACTATGGGGCTAATATAGATTACTATAATAATGATAAATAATGATGATGATTACTACTACTAATATTAATTCTATTTTAATACCACTCAATAGTAGAACTTCTCCAGGTGGTTCACATTATCATCAGACTGCTTTTATATTCCACCTTTGTTCCTCTTGTGAGGAACCCAAGGTAGTTTATATAGCTCCAAAGCAACGCTGTGAGGTAGGTTAGGTGGAGAATAGGTGACTGATGCAAAGTCATCCAGTCTTTGGAAAATCTTGGACTAGGACCAAGATCTGAGGTCCCTAGTCCAGTACTGAAACCACTATACCGTATTATTGGAAGAATTCCAATTCCAGCCCTAACATATTGTTCTCAAGCATTTTTAATGCATGAGACTTTTTTTTAAATAAAGGAGCTGTTCTGGCCTTTATGCCATTCCAAAACTTGCTAAGTGGAACCCATCAGTGCTCTTTATTCTTAATGGTATTTACCTTTTGACTACTGTGTTCTTGCATAGCTGCCCAGAAAAGAACATACCTCTGGTGTTTTTTCTTGCAACTGATCATCTGTCTTCCTCTTGTCTACCACCTTTACATTACTAAATTCTGCTATTATTGGTGCAAAGTAATAGGGTACCCATATGCCAGTAGAATGTTTAAATTGTCCACTGTACCAGTGGCATCAGGCTTTTAAAAATTATAAGATCCCATTAATGAAATCAAAACAAACTTATCTGCTTTGTATAAATCTTCTCATCTCTGATCCAAACAGTTCAAGTTTGGGTCTTACTCATTTTTATTTTCTTTCTTTCATTCTTGCTTTATGGCACACCTGGAACAAGCCTAGGTAAATCACACAGGAAGGCTACCATTCCCCATTCTAATAAGGAAGCTCCATATCTTAAAGCAATACAAGCCAAATTATATACTTACCCTGCTTGGCAGGCACATGTGCTGCATATGGATGCAATGATTCAATATAGGCTCAGCTTCTTAAATGGTTCAGAAAAGATACTGGCTCTGTTTGCATGCCATGCTAAGCCACTCTGCAGATAAGTTATGCAGTGTAGGTTGTTCTTCCTTCCTACCACTGTGGTTCATCAGCCAGTATCCCAGTGGCCTTTGACTCCATCTTGTCTCCTTCCCCTCTGTCTGATGGCTACCTGTTTTTCTTCATGGCTGTTCAAGTCAAACCAAACCGCT